TCTGCTTTGGCTTATTTACTCCAGGGGTCAGTAGACCCTAGAGCCAACTCTTCCTTCTTACCAGGAGTTTTTTAATTATTATTAAATCTTTGCAATTTTCATGCAATACATATTTATGATTTTTAGATCCCTTCCCCTTATTGCTCCCTGCCCAATTTGGTGTACTCTATTATATATTATAGAGTCTGATTTGTATCCCCAAATGTCCTTCAGTGTGGGTCCATCCACTAGAACCTAGTTAACCTACTAAAGCCTCATCCCTGTAAGAGGCTGTCTCTCCCCCTCCCAGCAGCCATCAGTTGACTAAAGTCTCTCAGGTTTGGTTGGGATTTCTTACACACTTCCCTGTGTCTACGCTGAAATTTTGTCTTGTTTGAGTGTGTATGGGACTTGTGCATGCTGTCACCATTGATATGAATTCATATGAGTAACTGACCAGCTGTTTGGAAAACTGTTCCCTTGCCATTCATCACCTCTGGCTATTACAATCTTTCTGCCCCATCTCCACAATGATCACTGAACCAAGCAGAGGTTTGATATAGGTGTCCTATTCAGTAACAAGCAGTATGTAGCCTCTTGTTCTCTGCACATTGGCCAGCTATGGCTTTCTATATTAATCACCATCTGTTGCATAAGGAAACTTATCTAGTGAGAGTTGAGAGATGCATTCATTTTATGTGTAGAGGTTGCATTGAAGATGTGTCACTTAGGGCAAACATCCCACAGATATATTCTCTGCAGATATATTCTCAGAGTTGTAGAACTCTGTAATAGTCTCCATCTGTTCCAAAAAGAGCTTTTTTTGATGAGTAGTGAGAGGTACACTTGTCTAAAAATATGAGGATGCATATTTAGAATACAGTAAGAAATTATGTTTGTCTAGGTATGTAGCAAAAGTAGCGTTTTCCTCTAGTATCTATGACTCTCCAGCCATATGTATTTAGCTATTTACAGTACCACACGTAAGTTCCCTCCCACTGAGTGGGCCTTAATTCCAATTAGACAGCTTTTCATTACCACTGAGATTAAAGTTCCACTACTGCACCAGTAACCATAGTTTTCTAGACCAGCTATTGTTGTTTATTAGGTTTTTACAGCTGGGTAGGACCACTGATTAATTTTCTCCCTTGGCGACTTTCACAGTATCTTCTGATACCCTGAAAGCTAGTCTTTAAGGAAGAGGCTTCCAGGTCAATTCCAACTGAATTGCTCCAGGTCCTATGTTCAAAATATGGATGGCCTGTTTTTAGCAATATGGTCTTACCTTCAAGTCCTGAAAGGTAATCAAGGACTGTTGGAAATAGTCCTGTTGTGATATTTTGGGAGTCTCTTAGACTACTCTGACCAACAACTCGAAGGGAAGTTTCTCTCTGACACCGTTATTTGTTATAACAATAGAAATAATATAACAATATACACGTGCACGCACACATACATAATTGAAAAATACAAATATATATTTACATATATACATATATACTGTATTTGTAAGACTATTTTCAGTAGGACTTTGAACTAATACATTCCCCTCTGTCTTTTTACATCATCTAAGTGTTTTTATCTCTCACTCCCCTCCAGGAGCTTTTGGGGGACAAATGAACTGGAGTATATACTCCCTCAAACTTGATTCTCACTGGATGTTTTCATTATTGTTATTATTACTATTTTTTTCAGACTCTGGAAATCACTATTTCATCAGTGGTTGGTGGTCAAGTCTATTTTTGTTGAGATAAAAGTTTGTAGGTTTTGGAGTCCAGAGGTGCTGCCTTAATAGTTTCTAATTCCTGAAGATATTGAATCATTATGTTAAAAAAAATCCTCTAATTTTCTGCTACAATAGCTGGCTTTGCTTTTACATCACTTAATTGGTATCAGCTTTTTTCATGGAGTTACAGAACCATGGAAACTTGGCAAAAGAACTTTGGAAGTCATTGGAAAGAATACTTTTGCCTCTTAGCAAATCTTCAGGGTCTTTCTGAACCTTAGGATTGCAGTTTCGCAAAGCATACTTCTCTGACCCACCTTGAGGACAATACAGTGCCAGCTAGGGCATAACTATTTCTTTAGGTACCATGTGGGCTGACGTAATTGTAGTGTGCTCATATTCTCTTTTTCTGAACTCTTCAGTGCTCACTAGCATGGCACAACTTCCAGAACCTGCATTTCATTTTCTAAGACCTTTGCTATACACCAAAGCTTACTGTGGATCTCCATGTGGTAGTTAGAAAAACTGGAGAAGGGCTAGAGTGGTGGCTCAGCAGTTAAGAGCATGTACTGCTCTTGCAGAGAACCCAATTTTAGTTCCCAACGCCCATGTTAGAAGCCTCACAACTGCCCGTGACTTCAGTTCCTGGGGAATTTGACACCTATGGTCTCCATGGATACCTGCACTCCTGTGCACA